TGCCTCAGCCTCCCGAGTAGCAGGGATTACAGGTGCCTGCCACTACACCCAGCTAATTTTTCTATTTTTTGTAGAGACGGGGTTTTGCCATGTTGGCCAGGCTGATCTCCAACTCCTGACCTCAGGCGATCCTCCCTCCTTGGCCTCCCAAAGTGCTGGGATTACAGGCATGAGCCACTGCGCCCGGCTCAGACTAAATAGTCTTGAAGGACCCTTCCAAGTTTAAAATTGTGATGGATTCTTTAGTTAGTAATTAGTAATAGTAGATAGAAGATGGTAGAAACTCAGGAACTGTACTTTCTGTGCCTTTAAGGAGAGAATAATCCTGAGGCACAAATATATCATGATCCATAATTTCTTTAGGTTCAAAATTCTGTCTTATGGTGAAGACTTCTCTAGTAGTAGGCATTAAACAGCATTCCTTTGCTTTTCTCCTGATTTCTAAATGGGTTTGCTACTTAGCACTTCAAAAGTGAAATGTATATAGAGATATATGAAAAGAAGCACTTTCAGTTTCTTTGAAAATTGAAACATTTATGTACTTAAAAAAATTCTCTGTAATCTACAACTCAGCACATCAGTTTTTTTTGTTTTTCTTTAATGCCTTTCGGTACAGCACATTCTCATTTAATGTCATTAATAGGTTTTTGGAAACCACAACCGTAAGGAAAACATTTTTGTTCAATGTTATTTTATTGTTGATGGAAAAAAATTGGTTTTGGTATACCTTACTTTGCTCAAAGTCATAGTTTCCAAGAACTTATGAATAATAAGTGAGGATTAACTATAAGATGTTACATACACATATATCTAACACATAAAAATAATCTTCATGTAGTAAGCTTTTAAAAACTTTCTTTGGTAAAATCTATTTTTTTATGTTACTATATGATTTTCATAATAGCCAAGCATAATTAATTCCCTGTTGAAGGCCGTTAGAGTTCATAAATGGCCTCTGAAATAAAATATTTGCCATTTTTAAGGTATCCGTTTTCTAAGAATTTTTAAAAATAAGTATATTCTAACAGAGAATGTAGTGTTAGAAAAACCCCACCTTCATCCTCTTAAGGTCCCAACTGGGTCCAATAATGAAATTGACATAAGTTAGATTAACAGGAGAAAAGCATGCACATTTATTTTACAAGTTTTGTTTGTCATGGGAGCCCTCATAAAGAAGTAAAGATGCAAAGAAGCAGTTAGAGCCAGATGCGGGCATGGCTCATTTTATTGTATTTCATATATATTGTGCTTTTTACACATTGAAGGTTTGTGGCCACCATTTGTCCAATAAGCCTATTGGTACCATTTTCCCAACAGTATGTGCTCACTTCTTACCATTGTGTTACATCTTGGTAATCTTAATACTTCAAATTTTTTCATTATTATTATATCTGTTATGGTGATCTGTGATCACTGATCTTTGATGTTACTGTTGTCATTGTTTTGGGACACCACAAACTACACCCCTATAAGACAGTCAACTTAATCTATAAATGTTTATGTGTTCTGAATGGACCACCAACCAGTTTTTTCCCTGTTTTTCTTCCTCCCCTTGGGCTTCCGTGGTCCCTGAGATACAGCAACATTGAAATTAGTCCAATTAATAATCCTCCAGTAGCCTCTAAGTGTTCAAGTGAAAGGAGTTGCACATCTCTCACTTTAAATCAAAAGCTAGAAATGATTATTAAGCTTAGTGAGGAAAGCATGTTGAAAGCCAATACAGACCAGAAACTATGCCTCTGGAGATAGTTAACCAAGTTGTGAATGCATAGGAAAAGTTCTTGAAGGAAATTACAAGTGCTACTCCAGTCAACACACAAATGATAAAGTGAAAGCCTTGTTGCTGATATATAGAGTGTTAGTGGTCTGAATAGAACATCAGACAAGCCACAGAATTTTCTTAAGCCAAAGCCTGATCCCAAACAAGGCTCTCTTTTCCATGAAGACTAGGGGAACCTGCAGAAAAGTTGGAAGTCATGAGGTTTAAGGAAAGAAACTGTTTCCATAACACAGAAGTGCAAGGTGAAGCAGCAAGTGTTAAAGAAGAGGCTGCAACAAGTTATCCAGATCTAGCTAAGATAATTGATGAAAGTGGCTACACTAAACAATAGATTTTCACTGTAGACAAAACAGCCTTCTATAGAAGTGGAAGAAGATGCCTTCTAGGACTTTTATAGCTAGAGAGAAGTCAATGCCTGGCTTCAAAGCTTCAAAGGGCTGGCTGACCCTCTTGTTAGGGGCTAATGCAGCTGGTGACTTTTAAGTTGAAGCCAGTGCTCATTTACCATGCCGAAAATCCTACAACCCTTACAAATGATGCTAAATCAGCCAAGTGCGGTAGCTCACGCCTGTGATCCCAGCATTTGGGAAGCCAAGGCAGAGGGATCACTTGAACACAAGAGTTCGAGACCAGCCTGGGAAACATAGGGAGACCCCCCCATCTATTAAAAAATAATTATCCTCAATCTATTCTGCCTGTGTGCTATAAAGGAACAGCATGGTTTACTGAATAGTTTAAGCCAGTTATTGAGACCTGCGGCTTAGAAGAAAAAGATTGTTTTCAAAATATTATTGCTCTACAGTGTTACCCAAGAGCTCTGGTGGTGTTGTATGAAGAGTTTAATGTTGTTTTATGCCTGCTAAAACTACGTCTATTCCGCAGTCTATGAATCAAGGAATAATTTCAACATTCAAGTCTTATTATTTAAGAAATATAGTTTGTAAAGCTATAGGTGCCATAGATAGTGACCCTTCTGATTGATGTGGGTAAATTCAAAGCCTTCTGGAAAGAATTCACCATTCTATATGTTATTAAGAACATTTGTGATTCATGGGAGGTCAAAATATCCACTTTAACAGCAGTTTGGAAGAAGTCGATTACAACTCTCATCGATGACTTTGAGGGCTTCCAGATTGTAGTGGAGGAGGAAACTGCAGATGTGATGGGGATAGCAAGAGAACTAGAATTAGCAGTGGAGCCTGAAGAAGTGACTGAATTGTTACAAACTCATAATAAAACTTTAATGAATGAGGATTGCTTCTTATGCAGGAGCAAAGAAAGTGATTCCTTGAGATGAAATCAACTAGTGAGAATGCTCTGAACTTTGTTGAAATGACAACAAAGGGTTAGGAATAGTAGATAAATTTAGTTGATAAAACAGTGGCAGGGTTTGAAAGGATTGACTGTAATTTTGAAAGTTCTACTGTGGCTGAAATGCTGTCAAAGAGCATTGCATGGTACAGATAAATCTTTCGTAAAGGGAAATGACAGTTGACGCGGCAAACGTCATTGTTTTAAGACATTGTCACAGCCACCCCAGCCTTTAGCAACCAGCAGCCTGGTAAGTTAGCAGCCATAAGCACTGAGGCAAGATCGTCCACTAGCAAAAAGATTGCAACTCAGTGAAGGCTCATATGATCAAGCATTAGCATTTTTAGCAGTAAAATATTTTAAAATTAAGATATGCACATTGTTTTTTAGACATAATGCTATTACTGCACACTTAATAGAGTGTTATGTAAACATAACATATCCATTAGGAAACTGAAGAATTTGTAACTTGCTTTATTGGGATATTTGCTTTATTGCAGTGGTCTGGAACTGAACATGCATATCTCTTCGGCGTGTCTGGACTTATTTATTTATTTATTTATTTATTTATTTATTTAGAGACAGAGTCTCGCTCTGTCGCTCAGGCTGGAGTGCAGTGGTGCGATCTCAGCTCACTGCAACCTCTGCCTCCCGATTCAAGTGATTCTCCTGCCTCAGCTTCCCGAGTAGCTGGGACTACAGGTGGCTGCCACCGTGCCTGGCTGATTTTTTGTATTTTTAGTAGAGATGGGGTTTCAGCATGTTAGCCAGGATGGTCTCGATCTCCTGACCTCGTGATCCGACCTCGTGATTTGCCCGCCTCAGCCTCCCAAAGTGCTGGGATTACAGGCATGAGCCATTGCACCTGGCTTTGACTTATACAGTAGATTGAAGAAAGCATAATAGACTGTGAAAATGCAGCTAAATTGTGTGGGGAGGCTTAAAAGATAAGAGTTATTTCAACAAGATCTGTCGCAACATCTTGTCTTTGAAAATAAAGATGTTGCCGTTTTTTCTAGTATAGGGAGGGTATCTTCCGTGTGGGAATTTCATTTTCTGCTTCTAAGAAACAGCACAGGGTTAATGAGATATTCATGCACCTGCTATTTTCCAAGTGCCTTTAATTTAAATAGGCAAAATACCGGAATATTAATACCATAATAATGGACTTGAAATACCCTGTAAACCATGCTGGCCTTTTATAGCACACAGGCAGAGTCAATTTAGCATAATTGTTTTTAACCTCTTAAAGAGCATGCACTGTGTGTGTGTGTGTGTGTGTTAGTCTTGTGTAAAAATAGCTGTAGCAAGAGAGGTTTGAGATTTTTTTCAATTTTTTTTTTTTTTTTTTTTTTTAAAGAAAGTAGCCCACGGCACATTTTTAAACTAGTTGTTCTAATACTTCACCCACACTTCTTTGTCCCTCACTTTCTTCTAGATATTTTTATTCCTCTTGATCTCCTCCTCATTCTCCTCTCTCCCTCTGTCCGTCCCTTCCTCTTCTAATGGTTTTCAGAGAAACAGCTACTTCTCTCACCTCACCTCTGCATTTCAAAAGAAAGCTGTGTGTACGTGTGGAGAGAAGCTGGAAAATAAGACAGATGTTTCTTTCATTACCAGGTTACTTGGGATTAATTGAGCTGGGTATGTTATTATTTTTAAGGAGACTGAGCTGGGTCCTTTGGAAAGCCAGTTCTGAAAGGAAGACAGTAATGTAATATGTACTGTTGGATTTTTTTGTTTTGTTTTTGGTGTTTGGTAATTTCGTCATCCTGTAAAGCATTTTTAAGGCGATCAGAAGTGAGTTTACTAAAATGGCATTTTCCTTAAATTTTTAAAAATGACTTTACATTTTTCTGGGGCAGCTAAGCCATTCTTAGAAACATACTATCTTTATGTTTTATTTCAGCATTTGCAAGTGAGGAAGCAGCACAACCCCGGGTCTTAGATAATTTCTAACAGAGGCCCCAGCAATTCAGCAGGCAGCATCCTGAGTCTTTGGGATCCTGGTCCCTCTTTAGCAAATTCTCCACCTTTGCGAACAGAGGGTCTTTAGGACACAGATTCTTAAAAGTGCAGGTAAGCAAAGGCAACACCACCATTATCTCAAATTCCTTAAATGTAAACTTGAGCACTTGTAATGTTCTTATACAATGTTTCTCTTGTGGGTGATGTTAAAATCCCCTCTTCTATGAAGACAGGTGCCTACTATTTTTTCTCTTACTAGTTTTGCAGGCTGGGGGCCTATAAGACTGCTAATGTAACCCATGATCCTTCGGCATATCCCATGGTTGAGCTATGAGAGTCTTAAATATTGTTTTTTTCCTCAATTGAATGGGCCTTCTTTGGGACTCTTCTTAGCCGATACTTAGGAGTAAGAAAACTCTTAAAATTAGAATATTATATGTGTCACAAATATTATAGAAATTCTGCTGTTAACCAGCTTTATAACCTTGGGCAAGAGGCTTTCCCTCTTTGGGCCTTGTTTTCTCAATAGAATTAGTTCTAGTTCTCTCTCTGTCTTTAAGTGCAACAATTAATGATAGTTTCATTAAAGTATCTTTTAATTTTTTAGGCTGATTTTTTGTACTGTTTTGGAATCCTTTGCACAGATTTCAGACATCAATGTATAACACTATTCTGAAAAGAGATCTAGAGTTCAAATGTCCACCAGGAATGAGCTACATGTTTTACCCATGAATATATGCAGGCACTCAATGATTTATTAAAGTTCGTCAGAGAATGATTATTCTAGCAAATCTGTTTGGAGATCTTTTTGGGAAAGACACTTATTGACTGATAACATTATGCTTTAGTAGTGCTGGCCAATATGGACACTCACAATGGTCTTGTGACTTAGTCCTAGGGAACCTCTTAAGCTCTTGCTTGTTCCCACTGAGATTGCTCATGAGGGTTTCAAAGTCCTTCCCCAACATGGTCCTGAGCCATTGGACTTGCAGAACTGTTGAGGACCTGAATCAAGGCTGGAGGTAGGGCTGGGTCCTCAGGTTTTACTGCCAGCAACATCTCAATATAGTGGAATCTGGACTGTAATCATCTTGGTGATTTGTAAAGCTGTTTCTCCTGTCATTCTTTACAATTTCTGGCATCAAAAAGATGGAAGTATTTTGAGAGTCTTTATGATGCTCCTGGACTCTAGTGTGTGCTTGGGTTCAAGTCTCAGCACTGTCACTTACTACTTGGGTATCCCGGGGGAAGTTATAACTTCTGTGTGCTTTAATGTCTTTATCTGTATGATAGGGATGACGATAAAGCCTTTCATAAAGTTTGGTTTTGAGGATTAAAATAAGTCTATGTCTGAAGCATTTAGAACAGTTACATAAGTGTTTAGTTAATTTTAACTTTTCCCCCCCCCCCCCCGAGACGGAGTCTTGTTCTGTTGCCCAGGCTGGAGTGCAGTGGTGCGACTGTGGCTCACTGCAACCTCTGCCACCAGGTTCAAGCGATTCTCCTGCCTCAGCTTCCCAAGTAGGTGGGATTACAGGTGCGCACCACCATGTCCACCTAATTTTTGTGGTTTTTAGTAGAGACGGGGTTTCACTATATGTTGGCCAGGCTGATCTCGAACTCCTGACCTCAAGTGATCCACCTGCCTTGGCCTCACAAAATGCTGGGATTACAGGTGTGAGGCACCGTGCCCAACCCTAATTTTAACTGTTTTTATTGGCACCTGTTGCACAGTGTTTATTCTTCTGTCCTTAATCTCTGCCTAGGGTGAGAACAATTCCAGTCTTTATCCTTACCTTGTTAAGCATTGCTTAAGTCACCATGGTATTTACTTCAACACCTAGGACACAATATCTGAATCCTTCTCAACATTGTAATGGATCCAAATGGAATGAAACCTATTTCATGAAACCTATTTGCCAACTCAGATTATTTGTAGAGTTCTTGATTTTTATTTTTTTGCTTCAAAACCTAAATTTGAAATGCCGTTTACAAATCTGAGTTTTTTGTTTGTTTTTACTAAATTTCAGAGCAGCTTTATTATGAAAAGCATAAAAAAGATTTCTATAGCCAGAAATAGGGTCTAATTCTAAGATGAGTTTTGCCAGTGAATTAATACTATTTTGAATGCCTTTCACTTCATATTCAAAAGCAGATGAGTAAAGCTTCCTGTCACAGATACTTTAAGATGTTAAAATGATCGTGCAGCAATAATAGCACAGTAATGGAAACTTAATTTTTTGTGGCTATTATTAGCACAAAGTCATGAGTTCTTCAGGATCTCTACCAGGACATTAGGAAGCTAATTTTTTAGGGAGGGCTTGGTGTATGGGAAGCTAATACTTCACTAATTTTAAAAGAAGAATTAAAACAAGATTAGGAGAGTCTTTACCATGTGCCAGATACTTACCTAAGTATTTTGTATTTACTACTTGTAATAGCTCTATTAGGAAGTAGTAGTATTCTTATTTTACAGTCAAGGAAGCTGAAGTATAAAAAGATTAGGCAAATTCCCAGGGTGATACAACTCATCAGAGGAAGAGCTGAGTCTCAAACTCAGGCGGTCTGATTGCCAAGCAAACAATCTTAACACCCAATTAAGCTACTACCTACAAAGAATAAATTACCAACGAATTATTAAGACCAAATCATGGAAGTCATAAATACCAGGCAGAGTGACAAGGTGAGAGCTGCGCTTTGAGGATTTTATGCCAAGTACAGCATGTGGGCTGGTTTAAAGGGAAGAAAGATTAGAGATCATTGCTAGTAGCGAAGGTGAGAAGTAATGAGAACATGGGTTTAGGAAACAGGATTAAGATAACAGCTTGAGAACACCTGTATTTAGGAGGACAGAGGAAGAAGAGGAAATCTAGAAACAGGCAGAGAAGTAGAGGAGGGAGGCCGTGTAGTGCCACCCAAGGGGAGATTCTGGAACTGAAAACCACAGAGATCAGAGAGGACTGGAACAAAAACAGACGAGTGGGTTTGGAGATAGTAATTTATTTCTTCATTTATTGACTTATTTACTCATCAAATAAGTAAATATTGTGCACCCATAATGGGACAGGAATTGTGCTGGAGGGGAACCCATGTAAAATGTTCTTCTTTATTACCAACTTTGCTACTATTAGCAAGATAGCCTTTGACAAGTTTTTTTTTTTTTTTCTTTAAACTTTTCAAAATCCTGGTTGCCTCTTCTGTAGTATACATAAGTCATTACTGTGTCTAAATGCCCCCAACTCTTGCGGTCTTCCCAGCTCTACGATCTGTAATTCTTGGGTTCAAGTTGTAAATTGCAATAATTGGAAATACTGTAAATATGTGGCCAGTAATTCAACTGGCACTTAGGTGAATCAGGAGATACAAAATAAGGTGTGTGTCCTATAGGTGTAATGTGGATGGAGGAATCCTACATATTACCGGTAGTATCATACTGACACTAATAATGGATGGAAGGATAAGACTGAAAATAATACAGGAAAGACAGTGTCCAGGGAATTAAAACAAAAACAAACAAACAAAAAAACAGCCCACAAACATTCCCTAGAGTGGTGAGGGAAATTTTTCTCAAAGCCACTTATTTTCAAAGGAAATCTGACTAGTTTCTTCAGAGAAACTTCTGTTGATTGAAAACTTTAAAAGGTCAAGCTCTAAAGACTCTTAAAAGATGTAGCATAAAACTTAGAATGAGCTGCCAGTTCCCCTCAAAAACTATTTTCTGTGAAGCCCTGATCTTCTCGGTTGGATACAATTCCTTTTTTCTCTGACCTTCTCTAGCAGTGCTTCTCAAACGCACAGATCCCATGGGGTTTGCCAAATCCACTTGACTCAGTTGATCAAAGGTTGCAGCTGAGACTCTGCAGTTCTACCAACTTCTCAGGTGATGCCAGTACTGCTGGTCCATGGACCACACTTGGAATAACAGAGGTGTAAAATAGTTTGCTTTAATTCTCTTAGCAGATAGTGGAAATCATTTTGAAACAGTATAACAGCTCCTTCACTAGACTGTGAGCTCTATTCTCCATATCCTGAAGTCGAGTACTTAATTTAGAGATAGATTAAGAAATTCTTACCTTGGTCAGTGATTTGTATTATTCAATAGCAGTAGTAATTGAATTGCTATAGGTAGGGCTTTTTTTAAAACTGAGATAGGCACCAGCATGCAATATCAAGTTTTCATATAAAGTGTTTGCTATATGGCCCATGAAAACATATATAAACGTGTTTACTACATGGCCCATGAAAACATATATCCACCCAAGAAGTTGTACTGGAATGTTTAATGCAGCTTTATTTACAATAACCAAAAATTGCAAAGAAACCAAATGTGTATTTGCCTGTTGAACTGATAAATAAATTGTGGTATGACCATACAATAGGATGCTATTTAGCAATGAAAAGGAATGAACTCCTGGTACAAGCAACAACTTGAGCATTTTAAAAAAAGAAGTATTATGTTAATTGAAAGAAGTCAGAAATAAGATATATATAATATGATTCAATTTATATGAAATTTTAGAAAAGCAAAACTATAGTGATAGCAGATCAGGCTGCTAGGGGCCAGGAAGTGGGAAGAAGGAAGTGACTACAAAGAGGAACAAAGGAACTTTTTTTTTTTTTTTTTTTTGAGACGGAGTCTCGCTCTGTCGCCCAGGCTGGAGTGCAGTGGCGGGATCTCAGCTCACTGCAAGCTCCGCCTCCCAGGTTCACGCCATTCTCCTGCCTCAGCCTCCCGAGTAGCTGGGACCACAGGCGCCTGCTACCTCGCCCGGCTAGTTTTTTGTATTTTTAGTAGAGACGGGGTTTCACCATGTTAGCCAGGATGGTCTCGATCTCCTGACCTCGTGATCCGCCCGTCTCGGCCTCCCAAAGTGCTGTGATTACAGGCTTGAGCCACCGCGCCCGGCCAACAACGGAACTTTTGGGGTTGATGACAATGTTTAGAATCATGACTTCAGTGGTTGTTACCTGATACACTTAAAAGTGGTGAATTTTAGTGTGTAAAAATTTTATCCCCAGCTACTCAGGAGGTTGAGGCAGGAGGATTACTTGAGCCCAGAAGTTAGAGACCAGGCTGGACAGTAGAGTGAGACTCTGTCTCAAAAAAAGGA